CTACAGCTACAATGATACACATCTGGGAAATTGCATGCCAGTTTTTTCTGTGTCCCTTCAAGAATTAAAATGACAAAAACGGAGTAAATAGCTCAGCTTGTTATTTTGCTGAACTACAGGACTGCTAAATATTTATAAGACATAATGAAGTCCTGTTTTTGAGCTAATATTTTCCCTCTAGAACAGATTTCTCCAGTGGCTGTCAAACATCTTCACATTAACTGTTGCCAAATGTGAGTTTAACAGCCCATCTATAGCTGGGAAAAGAAGATGAAAGATGGCCACATGATGTTGAGTAAACAAACAGTCCCTTTTGCCTCTGAGAAATACTTTCCGCTACACCAGGGAGGCCAGAGGATAACTCAGTATCACTAAATGGTCACTGTTTTCCAGACTATCCACAAAAGATTCAGCCTTTGAGAACTTGGCTGGCCTATTCCTCTTGCAAGATTTCCAAGGCCACCGGTATGTTCATCAGTGCACATCAGCCGCAGTGAGTTCATTCCTCTTTGGTTGGCACAACCAACACCAGCACTGTGGTGTAATGCCAGGGCATCTCTTGTAGACATCTGATAGCAGGAAACTAAAACATCTCAGGCTGTTTAAGTCTGACAAGATTCATGGGAAGTTGCCAAAAAGTTTTGATCTGCATTTAAATAATGATTTGAAATAATACAGGTTTAAGATCTGTTCTAGCACAGCTACAAACCTGATCTTGTAATACACCAGCTACAAGTTTCTCCCTCTATGAGGATATGACAGACCCTGAAGGTTTATGGTCCTATGTGTGTCCCTAAGCATGAAAAAACCAAAAGTTTCACAGATTCTCTGAGAGGCAGCATTGGGAGACATCTGAGAAAGTGTAATGAGCTGGCACAAGAATACAAAAGTCTCTGGCTGAGGTAACAGCAAGAGCAGGAACATCAAGAAACTACACCTGCAACTCTCAGACAATTACTTGTGTCTGTCACTTGCCTCCAGCTGAAAAGTCCCTGTGGAAAAGCTCAGAGATGGCAGCACCTCCTCTGAATGTTCCTTCTGCTGTAGACCTGTGGGCTATCAGCTCTTGTACCCAGAACTGCTCATCTCTGAGCTTCAACCCTGTTGTAGCCACATTCTCCCAGCTGCACCCCCTGTCCAAACAGCTTCCAAGCAACATCCAAAATTTTAGGCAAAGTCTTCAGGTTATAAATAAACAAATATCTGTCTCAGGAGAGAGATGGGAAAGGAGAGGATGGGTATGATAACATACGAGACAAACATACTGGTCCACTGCTTTAACCCAAAGCCTTGTTATCCTACCACTGCTCACTCCAGTACATTTTATGCCCTTCCCTCTCACCCCTTTTCTGGTGCAATTCCTGTGTCAAAGGTCTCTAAAGATCTTCAGAAGCTGCCAAAAAGCAGAAAAGCATTCCCATATCTACATTAGGAAGTAGCTTGTTTCCTACACTGACAGTAAGGAACATACTGCAAGGTACAAATGAAGACATGGGAATAACCTGACAACTAGAAGAGAGAAGAACTGAAGGGAGACCTCATCACTGTCGTCATCATGAGGGTAAGAGGAGGGGTAGGCACTGATCTCATCTCTGTGGGGACCAGTGACAGGACCCGAGGGAATGGCTTGAAGTTGTGTCAGGGGAGGTTTAGGTTGGATATTAGAAAAAGGTTTTTTCCCCAGAGGGTGTTTGGGCACTGAACAGGCTCCCCAGGGCAGTGGGCACAGCACCAAGGCTGACAGAGCTCAGAGAGTGTTTGGATAATCCTCTCAAGCGCAAGGTGTAACTCTTGGGGTGTCCTGTACAGGGCCAAAAGTTAGATTCAATAATCCTTGTGGGCCCCTTCCAACACAGAATATTCTGTGATTCTCTGAATTAAAGGGGAAAGACACTTCATATTCATCAATACTACCTGCTGAAGCCTGTAGCAGCCAGGGAAGCCCTTCCAAAGCATTTTAAACGTTCCTGATGTTTGAACAGGACAGTAAACTTAGCGAACTCCGGGGTGTCTGTGTGTGCACAGGGGGTGTCCGGGGTCCCTCCTGCCCGGCGGGGGCTGCAGGCTCGCACGGGGATGGCACAGCCTCGCTGCGCCGCATTTCACAGGGGCCGGAGCCACCTGCTGGTGCCACACGGTGTGTCAGGCCCGGCACCGCAGGGGACAGGGAGAGAAGTGCTCGGATTGACTGCTCCCCACTGCTGGGACAGCCAGGTGACAGCTCTGAGCCTGCCTCTTTTCTTCCAGCATGCCATAAAGGCAGGGAGAGCGATGTCTCCGTGCTCCAGTGGCAGCGGCTGGTCAGAAGAAGGTAACGAGCACAGCATCAACATTAAACTCTTCTCCCAGCACTCCTGGTATGTTCTAGCCGGGAACAGGCAGCCTCACCTAAGACAGTAAGTCTGAGCCCAGCTAAGCTCTTGTCCCCAGGTACTGGGGAGCTGCAGGACACAAGTGCATGGCACCTTTCAGGCTGGGATCCTGACAGTCATCACGTACCTGAAGAATAGAGAGGCTTACGAAATACTCCATCTGTGGGAGGAACATGATGTATGTGTGAGCAATTTATATTGTGTTGTACTTTTATAGACTTTCATAAACTTTCATATAGTTTTACAGGTACTATAAGTTATAGGTGTCAAGATGGCCACGGGTGTCTTTTTGCTAGAATAAAAGGAAATCAGTGCCAAAAAGAAGGTGGAGTTTGATAAAGTAAATAATTGCCTTGTTACCTGTTAATAACCAATTATAAAGGTATTTGTAATGCATGTTTACATCTGGACAATGACCTGTAACCAATTATGTGCTTCTTGTCACGAGACCTTGTATACAGATGCTATAAAAACCCTGAGCTATCCTAATAAATCGGACATATTTTAGATCTCATAGATCGTGTATGTATGTCTCTGAGCCTCCCCATCAGCACTCCATCCCCCACAGTCTCTACAGCAGTCCCTGCATGAGATGACCAGGTGCAGGCTTTGGGAGTGAGAAATTTATCCATATTTTCAACAAGGAAGTATACAGTACCACTGCATATTGCGCAGTACTTTCATATCCAGTGTCTTTTATGACTAAAGCATAAACTGGGGTCATCAATATAAGCTGTTGTAGCCTTGGAGTTAGAAATCTTGAAATTAGATTAAGTTAAGCCATTATTTAATTTTATATTTATTTTACATGATCTACAGCTCTGTCAAAAGCAACAGGTATCACAACAAAGCTGTGCAAGAATCAAAGATTCTGCATTCTGCTGCACTACTGCTGCCTCAAGGACACACCCAATCCTAAAACTGAGCCAACAACTTCAGAGTATTGCTTCAGTAATTTGCAGTTTTCTGCTCAGCCACATCCTACCACAGGAAGGACAAGTGATCACATTCATCACCCCCAAAATGCTTCAAATGAAGCCCACAAGCAGCAGCTAATAGAGACGGCTGTGACAGAAGAATCTCTGCTTCCTCTCTCCACCATTTTACTCCCATGTGAACATGGTTTTGGTGTTGAAAAAAGGGTTCTGCACCATTTAATTTGTTTTGCTACATTTACTCAGAAATTCTTCAAGTCCAGGCTTAGGTCAGGGTATGAAGTTTACTTGTACCTATCTCAGGAATATTGTGTGAATTATAGAGGACTCAGTTTCATGCCCCATTTCTAGACAGCATATAAACACCTACAGCACTGCCAGCTGGTCAGTCTACATACATTTACTCCCCCTATCCACCTTTAGAAATTCATACATATTTTTTAACTCCCTCAGGTCCCAGTTGGGAACTACCATGAAATTTGTCTCAGCTGTGACTCTGAATTTACTTCTATGACAGCAGTGCTCAGGGATTTCAGCTGATGTCAGAGATGCACCGACAACTTGACAATGATGGGTTTCCATCTGGGATTTCCAAGGAGTAAAGCTGCAGCTTTTTTAATTCAGCCAGGGAGCTGGTCATAAGCACTGGGGCAACACCAGATGCTTGTGACAGCAAGTGATCAAAGCCCTCAGTGCTGAGAGAGAAGAGGCAGGGCTCTTGACACCATGATAATAAGTAGTTTGTTTTCTATTTGCAGATGAAGCCTCATGACTGTGCAGGAGTTGTACAAAGTGTCGGAAAGCAAACCGGTTTTGTTTGACAAAATGTTATGACCATTCAACTCTGATGTAATGAGTGCAGTGTTATTGTCCCTTGATTAGGTAACTCCAGCAGTGTTTAATCAATGGTACAGAGACCTTCTGAGGCAGAAATGGCAGCTTGGCACCCAACTGTGGCTTGCTTTTCCTGGCTAGATTCCGAACCACCGAACAACTCCTCTGCATTCTGTTTTTCTTATTCTACCCCAAAGTGCTGTGATAGAGATATCTGCGGTGTTTGGGCAGGCACTGTCAGATGGAGAATTTAAAAACCTGGCAAAGATACATCTCGCTGTTTAATAATCCGTGCAATACATTTTAATTCTGAAAAAGTGTCAGTCACTGGAAATGAATCAGACACGATGCTTCATGAAAATACAGCATACTTGTTCTTTAAGGGGATTTAAAGTACAGGAAACTTGTATCTCTAGAGGCTCATTTAGTTGCTTTAGTGCCTAATTAGCAACTTGAGAGGAGCCTCACCATACCCACCGTAGTGCTCTCCAGGAACACAAGGCAGAGTGTCTGTTTCATCTGCAGAAACCTAATCCAGGAATGTGATATACATGGCATCATCCCAGGTGAGATGAATGCTCCTCAGACAACACAGTGCTTCTACATCAAGCACACTATCATTGCCAGGAGAGATCTCTTCCTCACTAAAAAGCTGACCACTGCCTTTAAACACCACCCTGGTTATTCACTCAGGGAGAAAACAATCCAGAATATGAAAAGCACATGAAAGGTTCAACCCTAAAGCAGGTTTCTGCACAGACAACATAAATAGGTTGGACTGCACACAAAGTTTCCATACTCAAGAAACCAGAGCTCAGTGCTCTCATAATTCATGCCCAGCTAAGACGAGTGTACACACCGGGAGCAGAGATGCGCCGTTTCCAGCCCACACAGTCCAAGCCTGTCGGAGTGCTCTGGGAAAATGGATGCAGTTTCAGTGGCAGCATGTCAAAGGCAACAGGAGATGTGATGGATGGACTTCTTCCAGCCTGTAACAGGAGAGGAAAAGCAAAGGCAACAATCATTAAACCTGTCCTGTAGGACAAAATATAGCACCTCTTTCCACCTCTGCTACCTGCTCGTGTGAGTAAGCAGAACATTAGTAGACACACATGGATAATTGTGGCTAGAGAGGTTAAAAAACAGTGAGAAGGCAGGAAAATTGTGAGTAACAAGAACAAGAGAAGTGGATAACCAGATGCTGGATTCGTACTTCACATCCAACCACACACACACCTACATTCACAGAATGTTTTGCTCCTTCCTGAGTGTTTCTAGTGGGAGTGAAAAGCACATCAGTCCAAGTCATGCCCTCAGCTACAGAACTGTTCCTACAGCTTTATAACAAATAGTTCCTGTTCTGGTATTTTAACATGCAAATAAAGCTTTTCCCTTCAGAGATTTATTGGTACCAGTCCACACCCATATAGAATGTGGATAACAACATTCTTCTCTTCAGTTAAAGGTACAAATAAGAACTCTTGCTTTCTGCTCTACCTGGCTGATTGACTTTACAAAACTGTATGGAACTTTATGAAACTTTAAAAACTTTTGAAAACGCTGCCAGATCTGAGAGAACTTCAGCTAGTTTAAAGGGGAAAATGTATAAATACATACACATAGCTCATGACCTCTAATAGAGAATGTAGAAATTAATGCATAAATGCAGGGACACTTTTATCCCTTCTTCCTTCTCTCTCCTCTCCCCCAAACCTCCTGTGGCTGGCACACAGAGAAAACACCAGTGACTTGCAGGTGACTGGGAGATCAGCTGGTCAGTAAGCACTGGTCCCACAGGCATAAGCCAGTTTTCATCTCTGTTGCTACACCCCCTCCTTTGCCTGCTGTGACATTTAGTTACCACATATCCATCCTTCACTGGAGACAAAAATTTGGTGTATTGGTTTACTGAGGTCCAGTAGTTTATCTAGGATTTTTCCTTCTCTCTAGCAGCCCACACGATGTCCCATCAGCATAAAGCCTGCTGACTAGCCTTGATGCTGAAGCCTCCTCTTTAGAAGATGGCCATTAGTCAAAACCTCCTTCCAAAACTAAGCAGAACACAGTGCCCAAGCAGCTGAGAGTGTTGCTGCTCTGTGCCTGGTTTGCTTTTTTTCCCCTGGACTTACTTTCCTAAAACAAAGAACACAGCCAGTACTTTGGCTCAAATCACCATCTCCTGAGGGATAACGTGAACCCTGTTCAAATTAACCTGAGCAGTGCCTGCTTTCCTAGAAAAGTCACAGCAAAGCCCCAGTGGGAGCACACGCTCTTCCAGCGACAATGAAATCAAGCGAGACAACTTCCTGGGCCACAGCTCCCAAAATGTCAAGGGTAAAGTCGAGGTTATTTACATGAAAGGTGATAGAAAGCATTGCTGTTCTGTGTAAGACTAGAAAGCAGAATCCTGCCCCAGGGCTGTCACAATAAAAACTGCAGGCTTCTTATTAATCCCTGGGACATCAGAGCAAATTTCAGGTACAGGCACTGATTCCTACAGCGTGGGAGACAGGCCTGTGCAACCCAGTGTCAGGAGAGGAAGCATTTTCAGGGGTATTAGTAATATGTGGGCAGGGTTCTCTCCAGCCTACAAGGAGGGGAGGGGGAATGAGGGACCCTCTCTTTTCCACTTTATGCGAGAGGTTCCAGGGGGTTATTTCTATGCTCTCATGCACAGCAGTTCAATCCCTGGTAGAGGCATTTACCCTTGCTGTGTGTCTGTGCCTTGTCAGGTGCACAAGAGAGGGAGACTTTTCTCATTAAATCCCCTCTCCAAAGCATGTTCATTAGCCTCTTGAAGTGTGTCTGAGGTGGCCACAGTGCTCATAACCATGGTAGCACCCAGTAAAACTTCCTTTTCTCTTATTTTGGATACGGTAAAATCAGATTTCCAGAAGTCATATTCAGGGCAATAAGCTAAAGATCTGCTTTTCACTGCTTCTCATTTCTCTTTCAAAATAAAAGAGAGCTTTTTCTGCACGATTCCCCCTCTGGGCATAGCCCCCTGATGGGCCTTTTAGGAATCTCTCTAATTTGGCAGTGCACAAACTGTGCTTGAACAAATGCACGTAGAAGCCATGTCTGTGCTCCTATTGCTGTGCACTCAAGAGGCATCAAGCTTAACAGCCAGGGTTTAAGTTTTTGTTGAAACAGGAAAGCACAGGATGGGAACAGACAGACAGTTCAGAGACATCACTACAAATTTTGTGCAAAAATAATTCCCAAAACAGAGCCCATTGCCATTACAGCATTACATATGTCAGTGTTTTGGGGCATTGTCTCTGCTCCAGTTATGGAACTTATACTGCATTAAAAACAAGAGTACCCCAGGCTACAGCATGAAACCATTACCATGTGGAGGGCAAAGCCTATGGCCAAGTAGAAGAATATAGATTCATCCTATAGCTGTAGGAGTTTCTCTTCTTGTCCTTGGGGGGGAAGGTGTTATGTTAAGACTTTAAGGTCCAAGATCAGAACCTGCTCAGCTTGTTACTGGCAGCATCTCATTATAAGGGACAGCTGGGTCACGCTTTGGGTTTGGCTGGGAATTTACACAGGCTCTTCCCATTTAAAGCAGTGTAGCAGCTTAGTGGACCTAAGCAAAACAAAGACCATTATAGAGAATTGTTTAGGACTGGTATTTAAATGGTTATTTTTTTAGTTTAGAGGTAGTTTCTTGATTGACTGTCCATCTCCCTCTGAATCCCAACTGCCAGCCCTCAGAGTGGCCCTATATTTCCACTATACTCATCCATGTACATTGATCTGAATCACAGAGTAGTACCAGAAATCAGCACTTGACAAAATCAAGAATTCCTCCCTGCTTCGCCCTATTAAGTTGTTTTCCCAATGCAGCATTACATCACCTTGTGTGCTGACCTGATCTTGACTTAACACAATGTGACTTGTCACAACAGAAGCCACTCATCCCAAGGCAGCCGTGTGTCAGAAAACATCAGACTGGAAATTTCAGATCTCCAAAGCCCCATACAGTCGCCCTGTTGCAGTCACAAACCCACAACAGACAATGAACATCTTACAAAGCTGCTTTTGTGATAATTTGTTTCTTCTTATTAAAGGGGATTTAGCATCCTTCTAAAACTGCCCTCAAACACTGCAGCTTGTGACAGCATTCCCATGACACTTGGGAGCACGAATAAGCCTGCCCTATTACAGGACTAGAGCATTGCAAAGGCAGAAAAAAAACAACTGGAAAAAGAAACTATTATAAATTAAAAGTACAGGCCAAGAAATGCAGTTATATGGTCACACAGGAAATAGCCCTTGGATCCCAACACTTCTCTCAATAAACCAGCATTATGCTTTCTTGGCCTGCCCACCAAGATTAAAGCATCAATAACCTACATAACACAAACTGACAGAAATAAAAACCCCAAATATGCCTGCATGCTACTAAATATCTTCTGCTTATCTCTATTATCCGGAGAAGAACGAACCAGGAAAGAAACTAAAACCCCAGAGTGCCCCAGGCAGGTGATCGTTAAGTGGGGTGTCTCCACGGGCACAGGGGCAGCTGCAAATCATTGTGCAGCTGATTCCAATTTAGAGGTGAGTTTGCACCAGAAAATAAGGGTGGAAATGCTTAAAGGAGAAGCTGTTTTCTGGCAGCATCCAAATGTGCAGTCAGTGAGCAGAGCAGACAGCATTCAAGCTGTGTAATCTGATGGCTCCAGGGGAAGCTATTGAGGGAACTGGTCACTCCTCTGTGAAGCACTAATGGTCTCAGTGCTGGCCAACACGCCCTGCAGCACAGGCTAGATTTCCATCACTATCCACACTTGTCAAGGAATTGTGAGAAATATTTTTAGCATGTTTTACTGATTTCTGTTTATCACTGAGCCTGTGTAAGCCAGGGATTCATTTTCACTACCTTGTCTCATCCTGTACAGCACTGAGCGCTCAGAACTTTGAACAAGACATAAAAGTAACCCAATTAATTTTGTTTTCACCTTAACATCCACACACCTCAGCAGCCTTACTCATTGTCTCCAACACATAGGTACTATGGAGCTGAGCCAGGGAAGCATCCTCAATGAACATCACAGAATCATACCCAGCACCCATCCAAGCAGCAACTGGCGACACTTTGTTTTGAAGAGCCCTCCCCGCCCCCCCACAAAATAGCACAGAGTTTTAGTCCCTGTTCTTGGGGAGGGAAGAACAGTGGGCAGTTTATCAGAAACCCTGTTTCTGGAATTGGCCTGGCTTCCTGTTCCAGGTGTCCATCTGCTTCGATGGGAGGCTCCCCTAGGTTGGCATGAGGCAGCAGGTTTTCCCTGGGAAAGCCGTAGTGGACAAGCTGAGCTCTGTCAGGGAAATGTTTCCCCCTCACCATTCACAGAACTATTTGTGCACATAAGCTCAAACACATTCTGAAGTGGTGACAGGGCTACTGGAGCCTCAGCTCCCCTCAAACATTGTCAATTTAATGCAAGAGCAAGTAGAAACAGGCAACCAGGACAACAGAGAGAAAGGGAAACAAATACAGACAACAGGCAAAACCAGAAAACCCTGAGGAAAGCTTTTATTTGAGTATCTGCTACTTGATTTCAAACTTTATCAGAGTTTTTTTCCATCCTATCATCGGATACTGCATGGATCATCCTTTAACCTCATGTCCTTTCTCCCCAGAAGTTCTTTATTATATATGAAGGCTACTTTTGGCTCTTAGATGCAGATTCATGGCTCTCCCTGAAGGGAACAGACCTTAGCTCTGGATCCAAGAGTAACAGATGCCATCAGTGTGAGTCACAACAGCCACAAAGTTTGTCACAAGCAATCATAATGCTGATCTAAAAGTCTCCCCCAGTGGAGAGGAGAATATTAATAGCTAAAACTCCAATGGCAGTGTTCTCTCAAGCACTTCACAGCAGGAATTTGCCTCAGTAAGAATTGTGGAGTTGGCCTCACATACAAGGGAAATCTTATTTAGCAGTCCCTTATTAAAGTTATACAGCAATGCCACAGGGCACAGAATGAGATTTCATCTGTTTAATTTATATCGATTTAAGGAAACTCTGATTTGCTCCCTGCCCTCCCTATGTCTCAGCTCACAGAGCAATCTGATGCTCTTGCATCCTATTTCCAGCGTAGCACAGGGCAAGTACTGTTTGCTTACAGTGACTAAAAAACCCACCACCTTTCGGTACCATCACTTGTGGACCAGGTTAGTGTTCCATCAGTCCCCGCAGAGTGCTGGGCCCACAGAGAAGCTGACAGAAGTGGCACCAGACAAAGTTCAAGGACAGGAACATGGTGACAGCAGAGAGAAGCAGCTGGAGCAGAGAGGAGGACAGTGCCAGAGGACGAGGAGGACGGTGTACAGCTCCTTACTTTTAATGGGTCCCCTGGGAGATGCTGCACTTGAGCCCCTCTCTCTGGCCGTGTCTCCTTCTCTAGCTTCCTTTTTCGGTTCCTCTCCATCCAAACATCATCGAAGCTGAAGCACTTATAGAGGGGTTTAGGTCTCTTCCTCCTCCTCTCTGGAATCTCCTTGGCTTTTTCATCTGGAGCAAGGAAGGAAAGCCTCCAGGCTTTGCTCTCCAGGGTGGAGTCAGGGCGAGGGGATGGTGGGACCCTGGGGGGCCTCCTTTTGCGATGGGGAACCCATTTCTTATTTGGTCTCTTTTCAGGCGCCGTTTGACATTGCTGTCTACACTCCTGTTTTACAAACAGCAGGTGAAAACACAGGGTTTGTTGGATGGAAATGTTGTTTGCTTCAAGTCAGTTTGAACAGAAGATGGCAAGGCTCAGTTATCCAGTTCCAGAACTACTCAGAAGAAAGGGCTTAGGAGGACTCCACCCTGGAGCAGCAGCTCTGTGATCCTTTGGGAGTGCAATATATACTCCCTCTGCACAGGACAGGGTCCTTTTCACCTCATTCTAGATGGCATATTACAATAACACTGCTCCTAGGATTTAGGTCACTCTGTCTGTATAATATTATTTACAAAGGCAGACAATATCTCTGAAAACAGGAAAATGACCTCCTCTCTGTCTCTGCTTTTCCAACTGCACTTCAGTTATACAATGTGAAAAGGCTTCCCAGATGCCTGCAGGTCTGATATATCAAGCCCTGTGTTTCCTGATGTGCTCTTTACACTATCCATTTTACTTGCTTAATGCTGGGCTGAGAGTAAGGAATTGAACAGCTTTGCCTTTCACTCTTGTTGGAGTGGTTGCACAAAATTACAGCTTTTATACTGGAACAGCTGGAAATCAAGTGTGCCCTGAGGTAACCAACCACTATTCCAGGTAGCATCAGTGTTAGAATCAATAATACTGAAGGTGGGAGATACCAACACTGGGGAATGAATGATCTCAGGAGTCTCTTTTCATGACAAAAAAAAAATGCTCTATCCTGACAGTTGTATCTGTCCAGTTTCCCACAGTTCATCTGAAGAACCCAAATAAAACCAAATTCCAGGCACTTCCTATCTATTCTCAACTAACCAGCAATTCCAGATCAGTTCTTCTTGCCCCTGGTAAGAGATGCCACATCTAGAAACAGTAGATGCTGTGAAAAAGCAAAGTATTTCTTGCTGGTGTTCTGTGCCTAATGCCATCACACTGGAGAGGACCAAGGAGAACGTGCAAATTCCAAACATGGGACATTTTAGGACAGTTTGCTCTTGCCTGCTGAATAACACAATTATGTAAGTAAAATCATGCCACAAACAGATTAATTAAACATGTAATGAAGGCCCTGACAGATGGGCAAACTGATAATGGTTCTGTCTTGCTGTTTTCTGCATAAAATCTTTGTCCTGTAGGTAACCTGGAGAATGTTGAGAATGTTAACCACTAGCAGGCACTCAGAGAGGGGATGTTCTGCGCCCCACCAGGCTAAGAGGAGTTACTTACCAGAGTGGCAGCCAGAGGTGGCCAGGGCAGGCTGATCCAGTGCAGTTTGGCACAGCACTGTAACACAGATAAAGCCACACCACTGCAAAAAATACCTGGCTGGGGGCTTGGGGAATATGTACAAATCCCCACACTGGAGGGCACACTGGGAAGTGAACTCAAGAACTTCACAATTTTGCTTTTGGTTTGCAATAATATCTTTTCCCTGTGGAACAGAAAAGGAATTTTCTTCAAATCCACCGATAAACTTTATTTTAAGACCTCTTTACTAAGCAGCATACATGGGGAAGGCCGTCTTTACTGCATAGATGATGACTGTGCTGGGAAGACCTAACACTGTAAATGTACTTTGCCCAATGTCTCTATTGTATTTTCAGAGATTTTTTTGGTTACACAAAGCCATGGTTTTGTCTATCTGGTGGTGTCATTAGTCGTGTATGCTCCTACCAACCATTTGTTTGTGTCTATACAGAAAACAGAGAGCTTCTATGAAAAAAATAGGGAGAAAGGGTAGGCTAAGGTCATTTTGGAGGGTATAAAAACTTTTATATACACTGGGATGTGAGAGACAAATGGCAACAGCAGCAAAGGCTGTGTGAGGGATCATTTGAGTGGAACACAAGCAGCCCTCAGCTGTAGGAATAGATCAAGCAGTTCTAGATTGATGAACTCTCTGGAAATTGTCTGCTCAGGGTATGCAGAAGCTCATACCCTCTCTCAAGCACCACTTTTGACAATCTGCTCAACAAAATTATTCTCCCATTTCTTAATGACAAAACTCATCAGTAACAAAACTGAAAAAGTAGTAAAAGCAGCATGATCAAGGTGTGTCCTGGGATCTCAATGACAGCTCAGTCTCAGTCACTCTGGGGGTTGTGCTTAGCCACTGAAAGAGATTCCTAAGCTCCCAGCCACTTTACAACTTGGGAAATCCTCTCTGAGATTAAAAAGCTACCGACAGAGGAAGTCTCTGCTTTAGAAGGCTCCAGCCAATCAAGAGATCCCTACTGAAGATACAATCTGTTCTGTGAGATCCAGCCTATGCCAAGGATTTCACGTGTTACCTGCATTAGAACACAATACAATATGAAAAGAACACCCTGACTCCATGAGATTTTTTTCCTGTTTGCTGTAGAAAAGGTAGAAAAGCACTTCTAGCAGCAACCAAAGGGTAGTTAGGGTGACTGCAAAAGACTCATGGTACTTTGAAAGACAGCTATTCATCATCTAAAGAAAATTATTTTATTTCTTAAAAAGTGACTGCTAGCATTGGAATTGATTTCTATGTTACCTTTCACGTTGAGAAACTTATTTACTACATACCAGTTACAAGGCTCAATTCTGCCTTAAGAGGTTACCCCCCTTTTACCCAGTAAACAAAATGGAGTTGAACGCAGAGTGGTGTCCGTATAACCTGTCTGAGACATGTTATGCATTACAGCTGTTATGATTACTCCATTTTAGATTTTTGTGGCAAATCCTCCCTTAAAGAGTGAATCAGTTCATGTAGTCTTGAACAGAAACAGAAAGAATGAGTAGTGCTACCTGTCTCAGACCAAGGGGAATATTGATGCACCCATCATACCAGTGTGTTCACTGAGCCATCAAGGAGTTTCACAGGAATTCCTAAGCCATATTAAAACAAAAGACTACAAACCACACCACCCACTGGTCATTCCCAGGCAACAACTCACCTCATCTTGGAGCATGTCACTAATGGAAGAAGCTGTATTTAAGCTGATCTGGGATTGACTGCTTATGCCACTGTCATCCCTCTGGTATTCGGTTTCCAGTGAGTGCACAGAAAGTAAGAGACTACCTCTGGGTTTCAATGTCTTTGGTCTCTCAGGAGCCTCCAAACTGCTTTCAACTCCAGAGCTGTTCCCAAGAGAAATCATGGAAGTGGCACACACCCTTCCAGGATAACGGAAGGTCTTGTGGTGAGAAGTGGATCGTGGACTCTGTGGTTTGGGACTCATGGGCCTACAAGGCATGTCTTTACCATCGGAATTTGAGAGGTGGGGACACGATGGACTTGACTGACTAAATGCCAACTGCAAGTCAGCGGGGCTAAATGGAGATTTCATCCAGTATTCCTCTAGGGAAGTATTTAAACTGTTGCTGAGAACCTCCTGCTGTTCATCGCAGTCGGAACTCTGTGAGTATTTAATGCGCAGGTCGTGGGACTGTATTCGTCTTCTCCACATACCTGCAGGTGAAGAGACATCAACAGATTCCACAGAGCTGTCAAAATAGCTGGAGCCATTATCTGCTTCTGTTTTTAAAAAAGTGTGTCCATTGGAACTACTCTGTCGCTCTACGGATGTTCTCACCACACGGCCACCCGTTGCACTCAGACCCTCCTGTGTCGGTGATAAACTTGCTAAGACAGGCCTTTTCAGTCCATCTGCCTCCTTGCTTTTTAGAAAAGCTTTCCAGGTGCTCTGGCGAAGTTTGGCTTTCTCCTTTTCATTTTTCAGTGCTACTCTCGAACTCTGCTCAGTGTTTTCCTTTTCTGTAGATCTGGACTCAAAAAAGCTTGAGAGGGATTTGTGTGCCAAGGCCAACCTTGTCTTGAACTTCTTGCCCTCAGGGGTTTTGTTCCTTTTGTATTCATTTTCAGGGAATGATTTTCTAATCCCAGAGTGCTCCAGAGGTTCACTGTCATTGTTTTCAGAAGAACCTGAAACTTGTCGATCTGCATATTTGCCAGGTCCCACACAGGGAGAAGCTGAATTCGTATCTGTGTCTTCCATCAGTATCCGACCAGAGCCAGAGGCCTTCCTCAGGCTCAATCTGTTGAATAATCCTGCAGGTCTCTCATAGAATAAGTCGTCATCATCAGAGTACTCAGAGGTGTAACTTTCCTTCCTGTGGAAGACTAAACCAGATGGACAACTTTTGAAAGACAGTAAACTTGCACTGTCTTCATCGTCTTTCCCAGCTTCCAGCTCTTCTATCTTTGCCTTAATGCCAAAGAAACTGCTACTTCCCTGATTTTCTGCTGTGGTAGGCTTAGTTTTCCTGAAAGATGTCATTTTTGAGAATACTAAAAACCTGGAAGCTTTCCCACTGTTCTCATTCTTCGTTGGCTTCTGCACCGTTTTATAGAGACTGTTGTTACTTCCCAGGATGTGGGATAAGTTGTCATCCATTTCCTCACTGTTAGTGCTGCAGGTACTTATATTATCCAGGCCCAGCATGCAAGTGTTATGGATCTCCCTGTTCACAGCCTCATCAAAGACATCAGACACATCTAGACTGAATGCACTGTCTTTGCTGGGGTTAGCAGTGTCTTCTGCAGCAGAGCCCTCCCTTCCTTCCCTAGGAGAAGGTCCTTCACAAATACCTATTTCTTCCTTTGAGCCATTACAGCCTTCATTTCCTTGCCTGCCTACTGCTTGGTCAGAGCCAATGCTGGGCCCTTGAAGGTCAACATCAGCACCACCTCCCTGACACAAACTGCTTACACTGCTGCTCGTTTCCAGTGTAACTGCACTAGTTATGTATAAGCCTTCCTCTTTGCCTTGATGTGCTTTGAATTCCTGTTCCTTAGACACTTGGTCATCTCTTGTTTCAGGCTTTCTGAACTGTTCTAATTCAAAAGCAGTCTGTGCTCTGCAGGGCTCTTCCTCAGAGACCATCACACCACTTCTACAGCGTGATTTGACAGTGCTAGGCCCTTGAGGGCCAACATCAACACCATCTCCCTGACACAAACTGCTTACACTGCTGCTTGTTTCTTGAGTTACTGCATTAGTTATATATAATCCTTCCTCTTCCTCTCTACCCTGATGTGCTATGAATTCCTCTTCTTCAGATATGTGGTCATCTCTTGTTCCAGGCTTTCTGAAGCCTGATTTCCTGAACTGTTCTGTTTTTAGTTCAAAACCAGTCTGTGTTGTGCAGGGCTCTTCCTCAGAGACCTTCACACCACTTGGACTGTGTGATTTGATGAGCACTTCTTTGCAGGGATCTGTCTGACTTTCTGCACTCTGTGTATCATTGCTCAGTGGGACAGTAACACTCCTGAATTCCACTTCCTCTCTTTGTTGCTGTGGGATTACTACAGGTGAACCCTAAGGATGAAACTGCATCGGTGTTCTCTCTTTTCTCTTCTGAAACTTCTGGTTTTACTTCAGCTGTATCCCTGTCAGGGGGTACCTCTGCACTGCTAGGAATGGGCTGGGTGGCCAGAATTTGTTCTTTACAGATATAGTTTTCACCAAGAACTCTCTCTGTCTTATCATGAGGTTTGTTCACAGTATGAAGAGACCTCAAATCCCTGCTCACTACCTTTCTCAATCTTCTGGTTACCACTTCAGAAGGAAGGTCATCATTCAGTGTCTGGGACTGTAATCCTTTCTGCTCTACAGAGACTCTAATTTGTGCAGGCTTTAGCTCTGGAACTGTCACTAGATCCCTCCTTTGGCTTATATAATCTGATGTGGGAGTCCTTTCAGCAGCAAAGACTCTGTCACTGTCTTCATCCTTTCCTTTATGAGTTGGATGTTCATTTGTTACTAGCTCAGAGTCATTCCTTAAGGCATCAGTTTTGCAACTTGTATTTTGCTTCACTGGCTCTTCATGCTCTGTCCCAGTGTCACTGCCACCTGGTTGTACTGTGGTTCTCAGGAATTTCCAACCAAAGTCAAGGTTAGAAGAATGATCTGCCCATCTTTCTCCTGCCACAATCTCCATACCTGACAGTTCTGATTCAAGGCCATTCTCCTTCAAAGGTTTTTGCTCTATTCCACTTCTGGAAACACAGTTTACAGAACAATCCCAATCTCTGTTTTCCACAACAGAAGGAAAACCTACATGAGAAGCTGCAAGGTTCTCAGTGCCATCAGTGTCCGATTTGACATCAGTATCACAGGGGAATCTGCCTGCTTCCAGAGCCTCTTCAGCTTTGTATTCATCACCTTTTATGAGTTCTTCAGCATTTATGGTCACTGGCTCACAGTCCAGGGCAGAGGAAATCTTCTTTTGTTTGGGGCTGCCCTCACCAGCATCACCCTGTGTTAAGCTGTCAGTACAGGTACCAGTTGGCTCTGGGCTCAGGCCACACGTCTCTGAATCAGAGTGCAAATGATGATCAATGCACGGGGGAGAGCCTGCTGGTTGAGAAACCTGACACTCATTTGGGTCTGTGTCAGCATCAAGAAGAGATCTTTTTATGCCACACTGGCCCTCTATTTTTATTGCTGACTCAGAGCTTACAGGTACCCTTCCTAAGGTTTTCCAAGTGTTTTCAAAATCCAGCCCTTGAAGAGGTATTCTGGGACATGAGCGTCTGAATTTGTTTGTCAGGTGAATGCAGCTCCCCACATATTCTGTCTGGCTTTGAGCACTGATGTTTTCAGGTACACTGTGCCATGTTTTACTTTCTGTAATCTCTGACCTTGTGTGTAGTGGCCAAGATTTTGTTTTGAAGCAACTCTGGTAAAAGAGTGAATCTGATGTCAACATGATCTCTGTACATCCATGTTTTATCCTTTTACCTGTAGTTTCCTCACTATCAGCTGAATTCCTCCTGCTGCATTTTATACTGGACATAGAATCTAATTCACACGTATAGTCAGATGTCTCAATGTAACTTTTACAGTTAGGTCCATTTGTTTCAAAGTGAAGATTAGGCAAACTACAGCTTGGCACTGCATCTGACTGGGAGGAAGACTGCTGTACCTCAGGAAAAATCAAACAGCTTTCTGAGTTTTCTTTGAAACAAGCAATGCTTAATACTGCAGGATGTTCCCTCTGTCTTGTAACATCATCTTCTGTAGGTACTGAGTTGCTACAGGACTGCACTTTAAAGCTTTCTAACTCTGCTTTATTTTGCAGTGCTGCTACAGACCTTCTCTCTGCCTGTGATACAATGCCCTCTTCACTGAATTGGTTCTCTGTGGTAGAAATATCACTAGAGAATGTTTGTTCTTCATCACCCAGTTCTTCACCTTCTGCCCTTGCAGACTGTATGGAAAATTCAGCTTTTCTTGGTGCTGCTTTTATTTTGTAGGACAATCCGAACTGTATGTGCTGGGTGAATTCTGGTTGCCTGGAGCACGTCAGTTCATGGAAGGTTGTTTCTGCCTTTTCTTTGGGAAAATTACAGCACAGGGTTTTTTTCAGTAAACAGGCAGTTTGAATCCAAGCACGTGTTCCCAGCTACGTCACTAGAAAGGGATTCTGTATCTGATGCACTCTCATAAGGCTCAGTTTTTACGTCTGACAAAGATCCACTCTGATGTGACACGGTCTCAAAATAATCTTCATCTGTTTCTTGGCTGGATCCACGTACCTCCAGCTCTGTTGTGCTCGGGGTAGAAGTACTCAGGTCGTCCTCAAACTCCCCTTCACTGATGTAGTTTTCAACGGGCTGTGGGGTCTGTGAATAAACAGAAATGAATGATTTAGCAATGATTTCCCACAGCAGCAGGGTAACATGAATTATTATTAGAAAAGGGACTTTGGAACACAATTAATTTAATTCACATTGATGTCTTTGAAAGCTATACTTGATGTTTTACTTATTGATGGTCCTGAGGTCTTAGTCTTTCTACTCCTTACTTTTCCTTTAATGTTTCTTAAAATATCTTTTTTTTTTCTTTTTATTTCATATACAATTATGCAAAGCCAAAATTTTACTTTTGGCCATATCTTTCATAGCCCATCACCAAAACACATTTCACATTCAAATACATCAAATAAAAATCATCCCTTGACAGTAGATCTAAAAACTCTAATGAACCCATCTTCAAATCCTAGGAGGAGGAGGAGGTTTATGTGAAAAACCTGAGAAGTCATTGTTATTATCTGCATTAGAGAAATCTGGCATAAAAATATGCAGAATAACTGTACTTGAGTAGCCAGATATTACCCACACCAAAGCCTGACCTAGAGGTGAAAGAAGCCTTAGATCTTGTTTTCCAGAAGGTTTATACCAGGAGCACTACATGTATCAGTTATCAGAGCACATCCAAATCAGTAGCTCAGAGCACAAAGATCAAACTGTCAATACTAGGAAATGTCTTTGTCCCAGACAGCTACCCTGGGAGAGCCTCAGTCTTCTTTTCTTCAATCATCAGAAAGTTGTCTGGATATTTCTTAAGTTTGAAGCAGATGATGAAATCACAGCAAGCTTTCATGAGGTAAAAATAGTACTTGCTGTCTGTCAGCTTCAGGTTCAGCTATTGTCAGAAGTTTTACAAATGCACCCAACAAAGATAATTAGCTGATTCCAGCTTCAGTCCATTAATATCTGGAATGAGATGCCATGTAAGTATAAAGGGCAGCCTTTAACCCTGGATGCTTCGTTAACCAGCTTTTGGTAACAGTCCTCACAAGAATGATTGGCACATTTTAAAAGCTGAAAACTGGGATAATAAACAATGAAAGACTTTTCTAAAAAACAAATAAACCAAAAACCACCACAAGTGAAGGGCAGACATCAAACTAGAACACAAGGTCCTTCAGCCTGAGTTGCATGTCAGGGTACTTTGTCACAGAGGGAATGTGAGTCCTCATATGGGAAGCCAAATTCCAAATCACATCAAAGGATATGTCACAGATTTTCTGATTCTAGATCCAAAACATAGAGGGTAAATTGGAAAAGGGAAGGCACAAGAGTTATTTCCAAATGGGATCTCAATAAGAAGACTGGTATTTTCTCTTGACAGTAGGAGGAAAATACAAATTGAATGGAGGAGGGGAGGGGAAGAATTTATGGCTTTAAACCAAGTCCAAAAATCACTTTCACACCATTAAACCAGACCAAATTGCACTATAGTGGCACATGAGTCACATAACCAGCAGAGCAATATGTCCAGTACTGTGTGCAATCAGTGACACATGTAATTGAGTCCCTTTAATAATGTGAAATCCCACTATCACCAGGACAGAAATGACCAGCACAGAGCAGCATTTCACACGGTGATAGCACAGCAGAGCGTGAGCTTTGGCTCTCACAGCACTGACTGCAGCAGCAGCTGCTCACAGTGACAGCACTGCCTCTGCAACACTGTCGTGAACACAAACTTACAGATGGCCATAAACTAAGATAAAAACTGTTCAGGCAAGGAGCAACAAAGTAATGAAGATGCCTGTCTTCAAGGATAATTATGAATTAAATGACAAAAAAAATTGGAGCAGAAATCCCTTATAGCCCATCTATCATTCCAAACATAGCTATGTCAAGATGTTCATACTGTGACCCTTCCCAAATTCATTATTTGTTTTTAATGGGTATTACACAAAATTATGCATTTAAAGCAGAAGCAGAGACCCCCTAATTGATGCCATAACTTGTGGCATCAATGCCACAAGAAATGAGAAGACAACTTCTAGGTATGAAGGGCACTAATTAGTGTCAACCAGGGCTCCTGGACCAGGCCCAAGACCTAACATGTGCCCCAGAGCTGCTGAAGGGAAGAGTCACTGCCAGGATCAGCCTGGGGCCACCTCTGCCAGCTGTGCCCTGGGATGGAGCTCCCCTGAGGAGGAAGAGGATGTGGAAGCTTCAGTTCCCACCAAGGCTAGGGAAGTGCTCTGCCTAACAGACAGGGGAGGGCTAGAGCTGCCCTCTGGTAAACCTGACATTCTTGAGCTCACTGAACTTCCCGTGGTGTCCAGGGAAGAAATCCTA